TTTTGATTTCACTGTTTTTACTGATTTTTCATATCTAAAACAACAATTTCTTTTTGTTGTTTTAAATCTTGTATTGTTCACTGCTCTGGAAACCTTTTAGATGTGGGGTAGTGAATAAATGTAAGTAAGAAAGATGGTGTTGTGAGCTAGGTTTCCTCCTTTCGCACATTCAAAGCCACAGACCTTTATTTGCAAGAAGTTATTTCTTCACAAAGTGTTTTCAAGAAGCACCATCACCCAGAAGGAATCTCCAAGCATACACGGAGTTGTTCATTGAACCCAATCAAGCATTTATTTCTAGGAACACTCCCTATAAGTATGTTGGGGCCCAATCCTTTGGGAGGGGGCTTTGGGAACAAGCGCACCTCTCTGCACACCAACCCTCTTATCGAATAGACCTCCTTTGCCAACATTGTGTCATGGGGTTGAGAGCCATACCTGGTTTGTCTGTCTCTAAGAAACTCCCCTGTCCCAACCCCACTCCCAATAGCTGCACATCCTGGTAATTCTCAGAAACTGCTGGAACACCTGGGGAGCCTGGCTTTGAGATAAGCACCTCCATTTCTCTCATCTCAAACATGGAGTTGGCCCACATTCACAATCATCTCCCACCATTCCTCTTCTTCTGAGTCCAAATCAGAATGCCCTGGGGATGTGTGCCAAGAGCAACTGCCCATTGTAGTCCCAACATTTAGAACTAAGCAATTAATTAAAGTATGCCATATCAATCCCTACTACAATTCCAGAGGCATCACGCCAACCAATTTTCATCTAGTGCAGCATTCTTCACTGCAAGACCTGAGGGAAAGGGCACTTCCTGGTTGGTTCCAATGTGGTGGCTTTCCAACTCTTGCAGCAGAGTTGCAAGTTCTCCTTTTGCAGCAGAAACTCACTCTGAGCAGGAGCTCTATAACTTCATCTTCATGCCCTCCCTCCCTCCCTCCCTCCCTTGAACTAGTGCTGTGATTTTGGGCTTCCAGAGGAGACTTCAGAGGTGGGGAATCATGAGCTGTGATGGGCAAGAAGCTCAAGAGAAAAGGAGCAATGTGATTGGCTTGTTCCAGTGGACCAATGTCAGGATGAGGGCCTGGCCGCCCTGCAAGCATCTGAAAGGTAACCATGCAGTGAAGCTGGGGTCCTGGAAGGCCATAGCGATGCGTGTTGCTTCCATGACTCTGGCCTTCCGCATCACCACACCTTGACACTTGCTCCTGCCTTGTTCCCATTTGTTGTTGTTCACTCCTGCTGGATCCTACATGCTCCAGTCTGTTCCTGCTCTGTTCCTGTGTGTTCCTGCTTGCTCCATTTGTTCCTGCCTAGCTCTGGTTAGTCCCTGCGCTGTTCCAGTTTGGTCCCACTCTTGTCTGTTCCTGCGGCCTCAACCACCTTTGTGTGACTGCTTCCCTGCCACAGGTCTTTGACCACAGAACTGTTTCTGAACCGTGCCGTCTCTTGTACAATAGTGCACAGTTGCCTCGTCCTGACCATGGACCACACTACCAGCCTCTAACTATGAGGCCCAGTCTCATTAGTGCATTCCGTCCACCTCCATCAGCTACCCACATCCCAGTCTCACAACCCCTGTGCAGGTGCCAGAGGGAAAATTGGATGTGCAGGACAGCGGTGTGCATTGGGGCTCATGTTTTGTAACACCACGGAGAGCAGATGGTTCTCAAAAGCGAGAAGACCATTGATCCAAGGTAGGCGCAAGTGGGGTTTGCTGGCCTGATGATTGGAAGAGGAAGATTTGCTTGAATGTGCGAAGGAGGATGGGGAGGGAAACTTCAACATTTCCAGCTGAGTCTATTTCACAACATCACCAGTCGATCAGGGAAGAAGTGTGAGCCCCTGTGAAAAGCTCCCAAGAACTGGTGCCAAAATGGCTTTTTCCTGAAAAATGGTTCATATGGCTTCTTTAGTCAGTAGACATGGTCTAGAGATGCCTCAGCTCAAATCCCTACTCATCCATGATCTTGATCTAATCACTGTCTCAGCCTAGCCAACTTCTTAGGGCGGTTGCAAAAATAATATATAATGATATACAAACAGCCAAGCAGGGTCAGGCCAAGGTCCATTTGGTCCAGCCTTCTGCTCACTAAGCCAATCAGCTGCCTGTGGAAAACCCCAAGCAGGGCAGCAGGCCCCACCCACCCACCCACCCAAGCTTTCTGTGTAGTGTATAAAGGCAGATTGCCTCTGATACAGAATGTGGCGAATAGCTATCAGAACAAATAGCCATTTTAGAGCCTCATCCTCTGTTTATTTCTTCTTCTCCTTCTTGGACTACCCAAACTAGCAGCCATCACTTGTGGAAGTGTATTCGATAGTTTAACAATAAGCTGTATGAAGAAGTTCTTCCCTTTATTGGTCCTGAATTTCCTGCCAGTCAGTTTCATGGGATCATCCCTTTGGGTTTTAGGATTATAAGAAGGGGAAATGTTTCCCTATTCCCTTTCTTCATGCCACACATTTTTAGACTTTTATTCTAGATTTTTAGTTGAGGTTTTTTTTAAAATGTAGGTTTTCATCTAGACTACTGATAAAAGTATCTGAATCCAAATTCCCTTTCTGAAGTCCCTTGCCTATTTGAAGTTAGACAAGCAGATTTTTCTACCTGCATTTATTTAAGCATTTATGTTGTCTTTTGTGACAAGTCAGGATAGACTTGTGAACCCACAGTTTTCTACCATGACATTCATTTGACAGAAACCTACTGATGAGGTCCAGAGATGAGAAACCTGACCCAGAATGCCAAGTGCAGCCCAGAGGCCATTCTGGGAAATGTAGGCAGCTCTGCAGGTTGGAATTCCACTTTGCCTCCTTTTTATGATCTCGTGCATAAAATAAAAGTCAAGAGGGGCAGAGAGCCTGCTGGATCTGAAGGGAAGTACCTGGGTCACCATGTTGGAGAAGCCAGGTGTAGTCACTCCTTGGTGTTTTGGAACCCAGTAAAATCACCACTCTAAACTGAGCTTTTAAAGTAGCATGGCAACTTTAACATCCTGCCTCAGATGTTTTCCCTTCAGCATCTGAAGAGCATGTTCACCTTTAGAAGAATCTACATTGAGATCTAGAAGACCTGAATCATGCTACTGTCCCTGTCTCACCTCTTCCACTTGAAACATGAGAATAATGTCAATGAGTTATAGTGCATGGTTGTTAGGTTCTTGGGAAGTTCTTGGAAAGCTTGGGAATGCTAAGTGTTGTAATCTGTGGGGTGCCCTCCAACGCTAGGCTTTCTGTCAATTATCACTGCACTGGGCATATATTTGCTTGTTTGTGTATTTATTTTATGATCTAGATTAGGGACAATTGCACCCATCTGAAACCCAAAATGGCCTACAGAATTTGCACTGAGTAACTGAAGATAGAACCCTTTACAAAATCCAACACAAAAGTCTTTAAAGCACCAAGGTCATGATAACAGGCATCTGTCATCTCTTCGCAAGTATTGGTCTTGACATTTTTGCTATTGAGGTGATTATTTCAGCCAAGCTCATTTCTGTTCCAATTTGATTGGAAAATTAAATGTACATTAGAGCAATTTCTCACCTATGCAAGTATGCAGATTGCATGCTTAATGCAATATATTGCAAAAGTCTGTTTTGGCACAAAATTTAGGCCCACATATTAGCAAAGGGAGGTGCTAGCTAGGGCTGTGTAGAGGAAAATTTCCGGAAGACTATTGTATACCGAGGCGATAGGTATTGTAACACAATTGCCCTTGTATCCCTGCCTCACCTGTGGAGGCTCAGTTGAGGCCCTTCAGCATGCAAGGGAAGCCTCTTGCTAATTGGGATGGTACAGCATTAGAATGCAGGAAAGTAAACAGCGAAGCTTATCACTGTGAGAGCCAGGAACACCAGATGCGGCTAGTTAACTGTTTTGACTCTTAGATTTAGGGTAGAGAGAGAAGCCTCGTGACCCCGCCTGAGCAAGTTCCAGAGTGAGATCTAGCCAAGCAAGGAAGGTGATGCACACCGGCCAAAAGTTGGGGCTTTTTTCCCTGTCGTTCGCAAGGGGGGCCGTCCTGGTGGCTGATAGAGGGAAGCCAGCTTACTTGGTATTGTATTTCCTTTTCCATGTAATTATATCTGTTTACATTGTAGTGCCTGTTTTAGAATAAAATCTTTAGACTTTAATCCACCTTTGTGCACATTGCTTCTGGATCCAAAAGGAACTTTTTGCCCTTGGCAAAACAGGCTCAATACTATTTGAATTCAACATAGTTTTCAAATGCCAAACCAAAACCCCCTTTGCCTTTAAATTAACTAGAAATCTAGAGGGGTGGCAGTGTTATTAGCTGGAATAATTCTGAAGAAATTAACTAGAATAATTCATATTATGGCTGAAATATGGAAGGAAAATATTCCCGTCTCAGCAGGTGCTATGAATGCCTTGATCCTGAACGGCATTGCCTCATCTCTTTAAGGTCTCTTCTCTGCTTACTGGCAGTAGAAAACTATTATGTCTGTATAATTGGACTTTCCAAGCACATAAGTATATATGATACATTAATCTACTGAGGTGGCAGAGGTAAAATATTTGCAAAATATATAAAGGGCTTGAAACTGAACTTGAGTGAACAACTTTTCATATTTTCTACTTTTTCCTGCAGAAAATGTTAAGTGAAAAGAGTTCTCTCCATCCATTTTAGAACTGGCATTTTTCTTCCTTTTTGCTATATTTCCAGACTGCCTTGAGGTGTTCTGGGCTCCCTCCCATTCTATTTTAAACTAGGCAGTGCTGCTATCTCGTAGTTAAATCTCCTGAGCAAGGGTAGAGCATGATGGATTTTATTTTTTATGGTGAGCAGTGAAGCAAGCAGTAGTGCTGAGATCTTGGAATGGAAATCTTGCAAGGAATGGGGGAGAGCGTATGATGGAAGATTATTGTTTCTGCTGAGGATCAAATCACACTGTAATTCAAATAATAATAAGAGGAGCTTCTGTGGGTGTGTAGATGGATAGACGGTCAATAGATGACGGATAGATACATACATGTGCTGGGTATTAAGGATTGCCATAATGCTGTTACAGCCACTTATCAGCTTTCTGCAAGGTAGGTCCTTCCAAATGCACTTGGGCGAATGAATGAGCAGGGTGCATGAGCAGGGTTGGTGGCCACTCTAAGTCAAAACCTCTTGAAGGATACCTGTTGGGAAAGGTGTCTGATGTTTTGAATTTTTTCAATGGTCAGAAATAAGGAGTGATATTAAATGACAGTGAATCAGGCTTTACAAGGCCAGCCAAGATGCCTAGTGTATATTATCTCTTGGTCATGTTTAGAATAAATCCACTGAAGTCTGTGGGACAAATTAATCACTACTATTTAAATCCCATATATTTCAATCGGTGCACTTGAGGTATGACCTAGCTTGGATTCATGCCATATTATCTCAAACCTCCACTGACTATTCCAATTTCTATTCAGAAGCAGCTTCACTCGTGCAAAGAATTGTGCAAATGAGGTTTCTTCCTCCACTGAAATGCATGAAAAAACACACATGTGCAGCAGCTCCATTTAAGCATTCTATATCCACAGAGAACACTCGATGAAGGCGTGACTAAGTCGTATTGCATATGTCTGTGGGGTGTAATACTAACATTTAATTTTGATCTATAGTGTAGTGGTTGCTTTTGATGAGCAGGGCCTTATTATGACAGTATGTCAATGTGTGCACAGATAACAAAAAGCAGGAGTCCATAGCATGAGCTCAAATGTCTTAGAACAGCAACCCTGTGCGAACTGACCTGGGAGTGAACTCCACTGAATTCAGCACTGCTTACTTCTGACTGCACTGGCTCAACTTGCACAGCACATTGCTCTCTAACCAAAAGTCTTCGGCCAGCAGAGATGCGGCCTTTAGCTTTTAATTAAAAATGCCGGCCATATTGCAAAGGAGTGTTACCCTTTGAACTGCTAATGTGGACCAGGAACCCAATCAGAAAGGAAAGAGGCATCCTGTCTCTGCTTGGCTACTTTATATTTTTATATCTTTATATTCTCCTCCTATATTTTTATTTTATACTGATAATTTTAATTTTATATTTGTAAATCAATGTATTTTTTGTATTTTTATATTTAATGGTAATTTATTATGTACTATTGTATTTCAATGTATTTTATCATGTTGTATGCCGCCCCTTGCTGAAACCTCGGGGCGGCTTAGAAATGTTATAATAATAATAATAATAAAAATAATAATACTTTCCTTATTCTCTGGCTTCTCTGTGCCAATCTGTTCTAAGCAATCAGTGCCATAACAGCACCAGGCTCACAGGGGTGCAGCCCCAGCCCCATTTTATTAGTGGAGATGCTAATGTCATTTGTCACCCGGCAAGATGCCTTGTTATCTCTGGGTTTGATTGCAACATCACAGTAGCGGAGGAAAAATAGATTGACTAAATCTGTTTTCCTGTTTTTTCAAGAAGGTTGGTCATGAATGATCAGTTAAGACCCATTCGCTCCCCAGAAGACCTGCTCTGGATGAAGATGGGACATTCTCAAACTGGTTTGTTTCCATGGATTGAAACAGCTGCCTGCATTTGGGGTTCTCCTTGGGGTGAGGGAGTGGCTATGGGGACTGTCATGATGAGGACCTCCTTTTAGTGTTACACCATTGCAAACAATCGTAAAATTCATATGCCTTATTATTACCACACTCCTTTGCCATAGCAAAGAGACTCAGCCAATTGCCCTGCTGCTCTGGAAGCTGAAGTTCTAGCAGTCAGTCCTGGAGCTCTGGGCCCCACATTCCCTTTCACTACATCACTGTGTTAGATGGACCATGAATCCATTTCGTGGGGTTTGCTGCGCATTGATATTGTTTGCTCTCACGTGAACCTGAGATGTATCTCGTGAGCACAGATGACTTTTGTGAGCATGTGCATTGGGGTCCCCAACCTTTGTGGACTTGGAGGCATATTTGGGAGTCTGAGAAACTGCTGCAGGAAGCAAAACAAAGTAGTTTTCGCAAATGAAGTGTTTAGTCATGTAATGGCTTCTGTGAGGTCCTGGCTAGTCAGAAGCAAGCTAAAGCTGTGATGATAAACGAGAGAAATTGTGAAGCTAAATGCTGACGTGGACGGGGAGTGAAACTGAGATGAAGGGGAGAGGGAAGAGAAAGAGTGAATGCTAGAAGCAAGACAAGAAGAGACATACTTCAGACTTATGGAATCTTGGTTCCCCACCCCCCTCCTAGAAATCAGAGATTAATCAACTGGAGCCTGGAACAAAGACATGCACTCAAAAGGAATGAGTCAGATCCAGGAAGTTGTCCACCACAACGCTTGGGAATCAGACATCCTTGCCAGTCAGCCTGCTGCAAATCACCCAGAGATTTACCCTTTCTCAGCCCCAAAATAGATTATTTAGAGCTAGATTGGCTAATAGTCAGTTCTATTAACTTCTTTAAATTATGTGAGTGTGTTAACATTAGCTCTGTAGTTGAGGGCAGGGTTGCATGTGGTAGAATCAACTTTAGTTCTGCCCACTTCACCAAAAACTTTTTCCACTGCACAGCATCAGAATTCAGGCGCCACAAGTGCAACAGTGCCATTTGCTGATCTATCTGTGAGAACTCATCCATGCATTCAGGCCACTACCTCAAGCCGGCAGGTATAAACTACCTCCATCAAGATTTTTTGTTTGGCTGGCTATATTTGCAGATATCCAGATGATTCAGATGGGCAAATGTTCATCATACGATATGATCTGGGTTGTCTACAACTGCCAGCTACATAGACCGTCATTTTACAACTAATTTCTTGGTATTGCAATGAAAAGTGAAACTCAGAAGAGCACACTGTCCTCTTCATAATGTTCTAAAAGTTGATAGGAACCCAGACCCTAAAGCACCCATGACCAGACTCAGCAAAACAAGGTAAACCATTGTAAAGGAGCAGTTTTCTTCATGTGGTTAAAATTGTTCTATTTTGCAAGTTGGTTCAAGCACACCAAGGATGGGAAACTCCTGGCGCTGCTGATGTCTTGGCCTGTAACTTTTGCCTTTCCTCATTATTGGCTATGCATGTTTGCCAGGACTGATCAGGGCTGTAGGCTAACACATCTGGAGTTGTGCATCCCTGACATATAGGATTCCCCACAGAATGAACCCTCCATATTAGTGAGTGCCTCAACGAGCACCACACTGCTCAAGTGATGTGAGAACTAGGCCTTCTAGCTAATGCCTTTTCTTTTTGTAATAAGGAGGATTCCACCACAGCAGTAAGGTATTAATTTTCTCTGAAGACCAAGCTTCAAAAGGTACATGTTTTCCCCTTTCACCAAGTCAGCTTAGGACTGTCTCCTATAATCTGTACACATTGATTTCTGCTACTGAAGCAGAATATCCTTGCCAGTGTAGTTAAGTACACCTTTTGCAGATCCTGAAGGAGGTTAGGCTGAAGGAAGCAAGACCTCAGCATGTTCTCTCATGGCTTCTATCTGGCACCCATCTGGCATGTGCAGTGTCCATACAATATGCCCCAAGACAGTGACACCCAAATCCAATGTCAGTGCTGTTGTCTACAGCAGAAGTGCAAAATGTGTGGCCGTGATATAGAGCCATCCAAATATATATTTGTGCTGATCAAAGATGTCCCAGAATATCCAGGAATTCCTTGGAAGCTGTTAGAGTTTTCTCAGTGGAAGGATTTCAAAGGGCAGGTGAACATACCTGAAATCCAGCCTGTCCACTGTTACCAAACATCTGTTCTTCTCCTGAACAGTTGCAGGAGAGTTGTGGAGTGTTCCAAGACATGTTGCCAGTTCCTGTAGGGTTGCAACAATGAAACCCAACAGATCTGCTCTGGACCTTATCGGAAGTGAATTTGTACCTTCAAAGTAGCCCCAGAATTCAGTACAATACAAAGCAGCTCTGTACAAAGGGACAGAACTTTATCAGCAGATAGGAAAGAGCTGCTGCATACAGGTAATTAAAAAGCCACCGTGGCGGGCATATCATGGTATGGCCAACTGAACCAGACATCTTCACTGTTAAGCTAGACAAGGAATCAGCAACCTGGAATCTTTCAGATGCTTTGAACTACACATTCCATTAATGAAGCCAACATGGCAAACAGAAAGGATCATGGGAACTGTAGGTGAAACGTATCCGAGGAATCGAGGTTAGGAACCACTCTGAACAATATCATGGGACAGCCTTGTGGTCTGGTGGTCTCTAGATGCTTTCCACTTCAACTATCATCAGCCCCAGCTAGCATGGCCGATGGTCAGGAAGGCTGACAGTTGCATTTATCTGAAAGGCACTCAACTTCAGAAGGCTGCCATAACCTTCCAATAAACAAAATGTACCATTCAGAATCAAACAAAGCCAGAGGCACAAAATGTGTGTGATTTTATTTATGTATATTTTGTGAAAGCACCACCCTGGAATGTGGCCTACCAATACGTTAAATCAATTAGTCATTAAATGAATCAATCAATCCCTTAGCACTTGGTACGTTCCATTTAATTTAATTGGGAGGTAGAGGGAGAAAATTAAAATATTATGTATTAATATCTATTTTATAATGTATTGAAATGTAAAATGAATGATGTTATGAAAATGAAAATCTCAGAGGGAATTTTTGTTGGGTCATGACTGCAGGTGCATCTCAGGAGAATTTGGCCTGCATCTATTTTTCAGTACGAGGCTCAGAAGGCATCTCATGCTTCTTGGCCGACTGTGATTCTGACTTTCTCCAGCAAGTGAAGACACGGTTAAAGTGTTCCAGTCACAAGAGAAGGGAAGAAAAGCCATATTTTGAGCTGAGAGGGCTTCTTGTTGTTTGCTTTGATTCTGACGTCTAATGACAGACACGACATTAGCAGACTTCTGCCCCCAAAAGGTGCTTTTCAGATGCACACAGAAAGCTGCCTGATGCCAGGGTCTGCTAATGTCATAGGGTCCAAGGTCCAGGCTGCAATCCTCACCAGTCTTAGCCAACATTTAGCAATGGTGAAGGGTCATAAGAATTGTAGGCCATAACTTCTGGAGGCCACAGCCAGCCCACCCTGACCTAGCCTAATGTTGTTTGCTTCAACAGTCACTCCAGAGAATCAAAACAGATCAGTCTTGCCCACCATATGCTACCTGATCCTATTTGTTTAGCTGGAGATCCCAGGGACTGAACATCAGTCCATTTCCAAGCAAACATGTGCTCCACACAGGAGGAGGAGAAGCGGGATGCAGTATTTCTATCCCACCCAATAACAAAGAGCCTGCGTAGGCCAAATGGTACCTTCCAGATGTTTTGGATTATGCTCCCATAGTTCCATGCTAGCCAGGGCTTATAGAATGTATAGGGCACTAGATTGTCTGCCTTTGTTCTAGATTCGTTGAGCGCTGACAATAATCCTGATTGGGTGATGAGGACGACTAAAGTGGAACAGCCCTCTAATTCATCAGGAAATGCTTTTTCCAGAATAAGGAAATGTACTAAAGATATGAACAGAGCTGATGCCAGCATCTTCTTTCCTCTGGCAGTCTGGGGCAACAGAATTCCAGAAGTTTACAGAGAACTCCAAGGTAGTAATATGATGCTAGAGGTAACATTAGAATGGCTGACTAGAAAGATGTTAATCCTGACAAACTGCCTGAGCGTTAGCCAGAACCACAGTGAGATTGAATTCATTCTCCCCTGAGAGGGCAAGCAAGGCCGGTGGTAACAAAACAGCTTTTCAATGGCCTGAAAAGCAGATGGGCCACAAGTGTTGACTTAGAAAAGAGCACCAGCGCCCTCTAGTGCCCACAACCCTCTGCTAGCAGAGAAAGGCGTACTAAATATAGACAGGGCTACAGATTTCCTGTTAATATAGCCTAAAGGCATGACATGTCTAGCAGTACCTTCCAAAAACATGAGGCCCTTTATGAAAGCAACTTCAGAAGGATTCATAAATATTGCAGGGACACTAAGAGCCATGGACACTTTTAAGTGACTGAAATAACCGTCACCGTCACTCGAAGGCTCCATTTTAGGTTTTGAAATCTACTTTGTTATGTTCAGGCTGATTCTCTGTATACCCACCTAGGAGCAAGTCTCACTTAGTTCATCAGGGCTTGCTCTGCAGTAAAGGAGTACTGGGCTGTAATATTAGAGATTCCTATATGACTGGACAATTCGATTTATGTTTTGGAGTTGCACTACTTCTTTCAGCCCTGGTAATTGTAATTTGGCATGGCACTCTCCTATCAATCAGATCAGCAAAGCATTATTACTTAAAATTCAGGTGGTGATTATTCCAGGAAGGTAGCTACAGAAAATATTAACTGGAACTGAGTGATAGAATGAACAATTGAGCAAAGGAAACATTGGCATTTTAAAACGGTGGTGTAAATGCCTTATTAATATATTTTATTTATACCCTGCTTTTTTCTTACAGAGAGCTCAATGCAACTCACATAATTCTTTACCTCCTCCTCTCAATATTATCCTCACAATAACAACAGTTTAAGGTGGGTTGGGGTGAAAGTCTGTGACTGCTCCAACCCCCCCCCCCACCTCCGGCTCCATTGCTGAGTGGGGACCAGAACCTACATAGTCTGAGTCCCATTTCCATGCTCTTAACCTCTATACCACACCACTGGCTCTCTTAGGTTGCAATACAGACATTGGACTTGCCACGAAAAAGAGAGAGAGAGAGAGGTTTGTTGTATTTGGCATTGTGATAATTTATGAAGATCAAACATTGTTCAATGAAAAATGGTTGCTTTTCTCACAAGCAGGAAGTTTCATCAAATGCTCCATATATAATTAATTACATGGGAGGGGCATTGTTTTATAAAAGAAGTCTGATTTTTTTTTTCATTTTCACAAATCCTTTTACTGAGTTACAAAGATCTCTCTAAAAGATCCACATTAAAAAAGTTATGGAACTATCTTCCTGATAATTATGCATTTGTTATAAGACCCTTTTCCTTTCAGTCGAATTACCTAAATTTGTAAATTGCTTGAACTCTGAACACAAGGCTTCAATTAGCTGAAAAGAAGCCCCTTCTATGCAGCTGAAAACTGATGCATTAATTGTACTTTTCCAGGCATATGAAATGAACAAAACAAAAGCCATAATTTTTCAGGTGGAAAGTCCCAAGAACCTTCTCCCTCTGTCATTCCATATTTATCTCATCCTCCATATTTAATTTTATGACAGAAAACATTTCATTTTGTCAGGCTATGTCTGGATTGGCCTTTCTCCCACACACTGATGAGAAATCACCCACCACAATTACACATGAAACTTCTTATTCTGACTATTGACATCCCTTATGGCAACAGCTCCTATGCAAACAAACTTGCCCAAATGTGCAAATTTTGTGCATTTCTATAAAGATGGGACTCATAAGAAGCCTGTTATAAGTGCAGCAGTGTCACACTTTTCTTCTGATTGCAATATTAGGATTGGGATGCAGGTAGAAACTCTACAATGCAAAATAAACTCTACACTGCAAAATAATGTCCAGAAAAAATTAATCATACAGTGTGTGGAGGGAAAAGAGGTATTCTTGAAGTAAGAGGGTGTTTGTTTAAACTTGTGGACCAAAGTCCTCTCCTTTCCAATTTATTTTTCTCTCAGCCAGCAGTGAGGCAAACTGTACTCAAACTTACATTCCTGGCGTGTAGCACCTTCTTTAAATGTGCTGAAACAGCCATTTTGTTTTAGTTTGTTAGAAAAAGGGAACTCCACTGCAATGCTTTTGCATACATTGAAGCTGTTCCTTTGCCTTCTTGCCTCTCCCAGTAGCATGCTATATGTGAATGCTGTGCTGAGGAATTGTGGGACATAAGGACACCTCTTTGCTACCTCCTCCACCTCCCTGGCGCCATTCTGGAAAGAACAGCACTCGCTGCCCCAGTCTGGTGGTGTTCATCCAGACATATTCCATCTCCATTGTTGCAAAAGACTCCCAGTGAAATCCAGAACTTATTTCACTGGGAAATTTTAGCAGGACTGGAAGAGCTGAGGATCCAGAGAGACTTCTAATGAGCACTCTATTCTTTCTAAATGCTCATGAGAGTAGTTCAGAACTGAATAAGTGGGTAAGTAGGTGCGGGAGAGAAAAAGGGAAGGGGAAGGAATCCTTCTAATATTCCTGGCTCAGACAACCCAAGTAGGTCTGTGGCAGCCTTTTTTACTTAGCAGTTTTCATTATGAAGCCATTAAAATTATTTGATTTCTTAACAGTGGATCAATGGCCCGTGAAAATTCTTATTGTGTCATCAAAATGAATTAACAGGAAGCATGTCCTTCCCAACGGAGTTACGAGCCATGGGAATGTGGAAGTGGGAAAGCAAATCCTCTGTTCACCCCAAAATTAGAACATTTTTTTTCCTTGTCTGAACTAGTGACCTGCTTTGCTGAAGGGATTCCTTTGTACTTGCTGAGTAAATACTACATCGCTGTGACATGTCCCATTATTTTAATTTCATTTAAAGAAAGAAAGAAAGCAAGCAGCAATGGTACGAAAAAAGAAGGAAGGGTTTCCCCAGTCCCTATCTGCCAACTGGCTTCTCTCAGCTTGATGCTGGCCAAAGAAATATTTAAAGGCACCGATGATAAATGGGCATCTCTCCAGAAGGTAAAGTTGTTTGCCTGGTGATGTCAGATTGCAATATGGGCCCTTGGGAGGATCCCACAGGAAGAGGTTTTATTCAAAAAGTGACCGTTATGTAGATGCACTAGCAGCTCTAAAGTCTGTTTTATTCCACCTTCCCTGAGGCTGCAATTACCTATAGATCATCCAAAAGCATCACAATTTTCCAGCCCGTGATTTTGGAAGAGAGGCGCTTCCCTCAGTTGGACACCCTCTGAATGTTGCTGCAGCATCCCGGAGGATAACAAGCAACAGTAAACTCTCTCTAGCGGAACCTCCGCGAGTGGATTTTGCAAAGGGTCCCCCGCCCCTTACCTGCACCCTTCCCCATGGCTTTCGCTTGCTTTTGTTTCTCATAACCCTACCGAAGGCAGCAGAGCAACAACCCGGACTTAATCACTTTCCCTGCACCCGTTTGAAGAATATCCTCCGACACGCGCAATATAGAGATGCCGCGGGAGATGCAGGCACGAAATAACGCTATATAGAGCCCCTCCGAGGCATGTTTTTACTCTGCCTTCATTTGAGGAGAAAAATATTGGGAAGGTGGGGGTGAAGGAGAAGAGCAATCCCGAGAAGCCTAACGACGCTCGCTGGGTGATGAACACATCCATCCGAGGAATCGATTATGTCTTGATCTGCTCGCCTCCGATGGCGAGATCGCCGTGCCCTGGAGTAGCCAGCGGTGGGACTGAGTTACTCCGGGTCTTCGGTTGCGTAATGAACAAGAAACGAAGCCTCAGCTCGCACTTTCGGGGGCACGTACAAGGGAAGCGAGTCCTGACGCCGGAGATCTCGGAGGGCAGATTTGGTGTGTGCGCCGAAATCGCTCGATGCGCACCCCCACTTTTCTTGGCGACTATCTCGCCAAGCTTTGCTTTGGCTGTAGGTCAATTTCACCCCCCCCGTCTTCCTCACGCGTCGCCCCGCTTCCTCCTGCCCTTTCGCGCCCCCTCGGCAGAACCCCTCCGTGTCACGCCCAGGATCACCCTCTTTCCAGCAGCTATCACTTCGAGACCTAACGCCCTTTCCTCGCCAGTCCTTCGCGCACAAGCCCTGCCAAATCCCTTGCCAAACAGCAAAGAGAAGCTTTCCAGTTCAGAAACACCCCCCCCCCCCACCCCGAATCCAGGGAAAACGGAGGCAGGCGGACCGCCAGCCCTACCTGCGAGTCCGGTGGACGCTTCTCCCCGGGTCACCTCTGGAGGAAGGCGGGCAGACAAGTCCCATTCACAACTAGAGCCGCAGCGGCAGCATCTCTCCAACCTAATTCCACTCCGCTGGCAACGGCAGCTGAACGAGGCTCCGAGCTAGTGGAAGGAATTAGAAACAGGAGCGAGCGAGCGAGCGAGCGAGCGACGAGCGCGAGGAGGGAGGCGAAGCGGGGTGGGGGGAGGACCGAGGAAGAAAGGGGGGAGGGAAGGAGGAGGAGGCAGGCAGGCAGGAGGAGAAGCTGGAGGCTCTGGCTTGTCTTGTTCTGGCAGAAAGAGGCGGGGAGGCCTCAGATTTCCCCTTCCCTTTCCATGAGGCTTCCCTTCTGTCCCCTGCTTTTTTCTTCCCCTTCCCACTTTTTGCTTTTGGGGAAATGCCAGCTACCCTTGATCTGATGGGAGAAGCAATGCAGCAGAGGTGAGACATCTTAGCCGACACATCAGTATGAGAAAGATGTCTGGGATCAAGCATATGCGTGAGTTTGGGACTCTTCCTGTCTCTTAGCAAGAGATGTTGGGGTGAGGGGAATCTATGGCATCTCCAGGGACCAGCTGCTGCCCAGCTAGCCTGCCAATAGCCACCAAAATGGCTGGTGGTGGATAAGATGCCTCCCACAGCAAAGGACCCCAGGTCAGCCCCTGGTATTTCCACATCCAGATGGTAATGATTTCCATCGGAACTTCTGGAGAGCTGTGACCCATCGGTGGAGCAGGCTTCCTTGGCCGGGTACCCGCCAGATGGGCTGGACAGCAACCTCCAGTATCCCCAGCCAAAGCCAGTGGCAGCTGGGTTGGGAAATACTGGTGTTCACAATATTGGACTTGATGAGGTAAGCATTCCAGCCTCTTGCTTCTTCTGTACAGCAGAGATAGGATAGGATCTTCTCTTTCAAAACAAATGACTGAACCTGGGAGATCAGGCCAATGTTAAGGTTTCAACAGTATTGTTCCTGAGAGGCCTTGACCCTCTCTACCCATTCCCCAGCAATATTTAAAGCTGCAATGCTGGAGAAATCTGTAATGGAATTAAAAGAACACAGATTTCTATGTATCGAGCCTGCAGATCCTGCAGCAGGCCAACTTTTTCCAAACTATATTGATTCCACAGACGTACAGACTATCATCATCATCATCATCATTATCATAGAAACATAGAAAACAGAGCGAGTCAGAAGGGGCCTCTCGGGCCATCTAGTCTGACCTCTGGCACCAGCTGGCTCTGCTCACGACATGCCCACCATGTGGACGTCCAGCCTATCCTTGAACACCCGCACCAAGGGAGCCTCAACGACCTCTCGTGGAAGCCCATTCCACACCCTCGGGGTCCTAACTGTCAGGAAATGCTTCCTGGCATCCAAATGGAACCTTGGCTCCCTGAGCTTTGCTCTGTTGAAGCGTATCCTGCCTTCCTCTGCAGGGGAGAACAGGTCACTACCCATCTCCATGTGGCATCCCCTCACATACCTGTATGTCGCCAACAGATCCCCTCTGAGTCTCCTCTTCTCCAGGCTGAAGAGACCCAGTTCCCTCAGTCTCGCCTCATACCCCATCCCCTGCAAACTGGCCACCAACCTTGTGGCCCTACGCTGCACTGACTCCAACCTGGCTATATCCTTTCTGTAATGAGGGGCCCAAAACTGAACACAATACTCCAGTTGTGGGCACACAAGAGTCGTGTAGAGTGGTAGTAATACCTCTCTTGATCTAGAAGTCATCATCATCAAACAACATCATCATCAATCAACTTCAATGTTCAATTTTAGATGTTTTAATAATTGTGGTTTTATTATTGTATTTTGGAATGTTATATTATGTAAGCCGTTCTGAGCACTTGTGCAGAAGGACGAGAAACAAATGCTTGCATAAATAATAAATAATAAATAAACTTATGTGGTGCTTTGAGCAGTTTTGTTCATTTTCAAAGGTACACACTTGCTAATATGCATTAGTGCTAGTGTTTGTTACCACAAATGATCATGAGCACAAGTGCACGTTTGGGAACAAACATGATTGTCACACATGCACACCTAATTGAAAGATTCCTTACAATCTGTGAAACACAGTTGGGGCACAATTCACAACTCTCACAACTCTAATAGTAATCAGTCCTACTTTTTTATGGAGGTGGGAGTTATAGTAAGAACAGAAGAACATGTTTGATCAAACCGAGGGTTCATCTAGTTCAGTGTTCCAAACGCACTGTGGCAAACCAGCTGGGTCCTTGTCAAAAGGCTTATTTTTCTGAGAAGGAGTTTTTTCTCCAGTGAAATATCCTCACACTGACTCTGTTTTAAAGGTGCTTAGGACCTAGAGACCAAACATGCAGCATCTTTTCATGACTTGATCTCTTCCCAAACTGTGCTTCGAAGGGAATCTTGATGGAATGCTGCCCTTTCATAAAGCCAATCAAACGTTTCAAACCTAGCATATTAGCCTATGATGAAATCTTCTCTAAAGAATGATTGATTTGTATTTGCTAAGTATTGGTATTCTCCTTAATACAAGGAAGGCTTCCTCCAAATCCTCCAATAATGTTGGGGATTCTGAGGATGTGAATGCTGCCATGCCATATAGGGAATGGAGCGTATGTTTCATTTGAAGGAGTTGTCAGTGTATGTTGATATGTCCTCTGTTAATGCTTGAAGGAGAGGAATTCATACTCTTTGCCTATTAGCTGACCTAAAGTGAGGATACCTCCCCCTGCCCCTGCTTCCGGAGGAAAGGATGTCCAGCAATTCACACATTTGCATCACACCAAATTGTTTGGTGTATGAGAGAGTCAACATGTATGAGAGGGCTCTTAAGTGTGCAGTGCTCAGTGCCCCCACTGGGGAATTGGTGTCAGATATGCCGATTCTAGGCATGCCCAAGGGGTCGAACAGGTAATGGAACATTTCGTGGCATATGAGAGGTGGTATGTTTTGTGATGCACATTCAGAGCAGATCCCTCCTCCATGAGCAGTTGAATCATGTGATTGAGAAGCATGGCAGGAAGACTCCCCAAATAAATTTCCTGACTAGCACATTGTCTCTTTGAACAACCATTTCGGTATGCACCAACTCTAGAAGTCCTCATGGTGGCTGAGAGACTCTTACTATGGGGATCGAAAAACAATCTTTCTCAGCCACACAATGAATCAAAGATCTAAACTACCAATGACAAATTCATCTTAACACTCCTGCTGACATTTGGTCAAATTAGCTCAACCAAGATCACTTTCGGCTGTATTTGTCTATGATGCTAAGATACGCTGAGCTGATCTATGTCACAGAGTTAGCAATATCTCTTAGATGCTTTAATATGTCAAAAATGTGTTGACATGTTGCACTTGCTTTAATATAATCATCAGATCACAGAAGAGTAGAGCTGGCAGGAACCAGAGGGCCATCTGGTCCAACCCACTGCTCAACACAGGATTCCTAGTTAGAGCAACTCTGACATCTGCACCTTGAATGCTACTAATGTGGGACAGCCTGCAATGCCCCTAGATCATTGGCTCTATTGTCATACCACTTTAACAGTCAAGGACTTTCTTCCTGATATCCAGCTGGAATCTGGCTTCCTGTAACTTGAGCCCATTATTTCAAGTTCTGCTTTCTGGGATGATCAAGAAGAGATCTTGCCCAATAAGATGATCCTTGAAAAGCTGCCTGTCAATCTTGAGTTTCCATCCTGTTCCTTCAGCTTGTATCTCCCATTCATCAGGAAGGCCATAGATCATCTTTTGGGAGAAGCCTGAGGCAAAGTAGGAGTTGAGCATTTCTACCTTTTCTTTGACATCTGTTATTATCTTGCCATCCACACTGAGTAGCCGAACCCCCATTTCTTTCCTCTGTCTTTTACTTGGGACATCTCTGAAGAAACCTGTTATGTGCTTTTAGCATCCTTCACTAGCCTCAGTTCATTCCTAGCTTTAACCTTCCTGTCACCATCTCTGCAATTCCTTGCTCTCAGCCTGCATTTTTCCTTCGTCTCCCAACAGATACTGGGGAAATTGAAGCCCCCATGAATATGACAACATGCCTGCTTCAAACACTGCCAATTTGCTTTTTGAAAGTTTCATCCTCATTTTCTCCATGACTGGGAGATCGCTAAGAGACTCCAACCACTGTGCTCCTTTTATTCCTTGCTTCATTTATATCAGTCTCCCATTGGGCCTACTAAGCACATGCTCCTGCATTTACATGTGGAAATATGTATCTTTAACTTACAGTGTAACTCTGCCTCCTTTTCTGTTCCTTCTGTTCTTCTTGAAAAGGTTATATCCACCAGTTGTTAAATTCCAGCCATGGGAGTCATCCTGCCAAGGTTCAGTTATACCTATAAGATTATATTCACCCTCCGGTACTAAGAGTTCAAGTTCATGCTGTTTATTTACTATACTGTGGGGGTTGGCATGTAGACATTAAGACCATGTGCTTTATACTCTAGCTTTCTTCACACATTTTTTGGAAGACCATCATTGGGCACTCTTAGAGCAGCTCCTTCTGTTGTGGTGCATAAGCCTTAGTCTGTTGTTCCACTTAGTCTGAACTTCTCCCTCCACTCTAGGATCAGTTTAAAGCCCTCCTTTAAACGTCTCCATGCTGTGGCCAAACACATTCCTTTCCAATCCCTATAAGGTTCAATCCACCCCTGCCAGCAGTGCGTCTTCCAGGAAGCATAGCCATTGTCCCCGAATCCAAATCCTCACATAAGCATCTTCATAGCCAGGCATTTCCTGTGGAACACCGCTTCACATACCTACATGTCGCTAGAAGATCTCCTCGGATTCTCCTCTTTCCCAGGCTGAAAGGACCGGCCTCCATTGACTCATTATGAGTGGCTGCTTCTGCTGCTGCGGTGACTGCTGGGGGTTGGGGGAGAGTCCTTCAAAGTGGGTGGTGTGGGGTTTGTATGGCAGCTCGCTGAACCTACTGGGAGAGTTAGCTGGCACCATCCCCTGCACTCTGTCCACCCAGCTCCGTGTTGTGTTTGCACAATTCTAGCTCCTTCCTGGGCTAGCACATGTACTCATGTGGCTTGCCGGCACTGCTGGAAGAACGTTTGGGAGAGTGTTTGTGGACGCTGCCCTTTTTGAGGAAGAGTTTGGAAGAGCTGGA